GCTTTTTCTTGGAGGGCGGACGGCGCGGCCTGATCCAGGTGAGCCGCTTTCCTCCGGGGAGGGGGCGCTGGCATCCAGCCACCCTTTCACCAGCGAGCCGGGTCAAGCGGCAGAGGATCGTGTCAAGCTCCCCGGGGCGGTCTGCTGTGCTTTCGCGTCTGCGTGTCCCAGGAAGGCGTTTGGAAACCGCAGCCGCGCCGTGCAGGCCTGCCACCCGAACCTTTCGAAGGCGAAGGCGCCCGAGTCGCCGGCTGCTGTCATGTAGAGAGCTCCTGCTTTGCACTGGGCGCCATGCTGGGGCGCCGGCTGCGGATCCGGAGACCCAGTGACCCCCAGGGGGCCCTGGAACTCCACCCCGCGCCCCCGCTGACTGGGGGCAGCCTGGGGGCAGCCCGGCCCTCGTGTGGCGCTTGCCTCGCGGACACCACCTGGCTTTCTCACAGGCACCGAAACTCTTCGGTCTGCTCTCCTCCTCCCCAGGGCCAGGCTGGAGGGTGGAGAATCGGAGTGTCTGGGATTTGCTGCAAAGGAATCTGCTGGCTGAGGAAATAGGGTGGGTGGGTCTAGACCAAACCAGATGGGTCATCCGTTGGTCGTTGTAGAAGCTGGTTAATGGATACCCCGGGACTCATATTATTCTTTCCTCTTTTTATGATGTTTGAAAAGGTTTATAACACAATTTTTTAGAGTTGGGGATCTGACTCTGTGGCCCAGGCTGGAGTGAAGTGGTGCGATCACGGCTCAAAGCCTCAAACGACTAGGCTCAAGCCGTCCTACCTCAGCCTCACGGGTAGCTGGGACTACAGGTATGTGCTACCAGGCCCAGCTAATTTTTTGTAGAGTCGTGGTCTCTCCATATAACCTAGGCCGGTCATATTCCTGGCTTCAAGTGATCCTCCCGCTTCGGCCTCCGAAAGTGCTGGGATTTCAGGTGGGAGCCACCCTACCCTGCCTTATAATACAGTTTTTAAATAGCTTCCATCCAGGATTTGGCCTCTTCTCATGATCTCCATGGTCCACTGGTTTACCTCAAGGTGCTCCTAGGCGCTCAGCCTCCTCTAGCCCTTCCGTTCTGGAGTGTACTTTCGACACAGCATCCATGGTGATCTGTTAAAACAAGTCAGATCACGACATCACTCCTCTACTCAGAATCCTCCAATGACTTCTCAGTTCGCTCTCCATAAAAGCCAGCGTCCTTTCCAGTGGTTCCAAGGCCCCGCATGATTCAGACGGCCTCAGTCCTGCTACTCACCTCCCGCTTGGTTGCTCCCACCGGAGCCTCCATGCCTTAATGTTTCTGGAGCACGCCTGGCACCGTTGCCTCTTTTCCATCTGCCCGGAATGCTCTCCTCCCTGACAGCTGCCTGGCTTCCCCCTTCACCTTCCGTCTGTCCTGAGACACCACATTCCCTGTGAGGACTTCCCACTCTTGGTGAAATGCCGACATCCTGCCCGCGATACTCCCTTCTCCACCTCTCTCAACACTGTTCCTTCGCATACTCCGTCTATTTCACTTACCATCTGTCACCACCCACCCTGGAATTAAAGCCCCACGAAGGCAGGGATTGCAGTCTGCTTTGTTCCCCAGCATACCTTCCGCATGCCTGGTGCAGGGCAGGTGCCTGATAAGTATAGGTCTCCATTTTCCAAAGTAAAATAAAGCAGAGTCAGCATTAACAAGCCAGGTGCAGAGGCTCACACCTGTAATCCCAACACTTTAGGAGGCCAAGGCGGTAGGATCACTTGAGACCAGGAATTCAAGACCCACCTGGGCAACATAGCGAGACCTTGTCTCTACAAAAAAATTAAGAAATTAGGTGGATGTTGTGACCAGAGCCAATGGTTCCAGGTATTCAGAAGACTGAGGTGGAAGATCACCTGAGCCCAGGGGTTCAAAACTGCAGTGAGCCATGATGGTGCCACTGCGATCCAGCCTGGGTGACAGTGAGACTCCAAAAAAAAAAAAAAAGAATTTAAAAACTTTTCAACACCATGAAGAAGCAGTTATCTTTTAATTTTTTTGAACTTCATAGTTTCAGTACAATACCATGTGCCCAGAGGGTTCGATGTGTCCTATGCCTCATAATCGCGTTTCCTTCTTTTTGTGTATGTTTCCAGGATATTGATTTCAAGAAAGGAATCAACAGGCTTGATAAAAGTGCTTTTTTGGTGCTTTTTAAAATTTTCGAGGTGAGGTCTCTCTATGTTGTCCAGGCAGCCTCAAACTCCAGGGCTCAAGGGATCCTTCTACCTTGGCCTCCCAAGTAGCTGGGACTATAGGAGCATACCACCTAGCTCACTTATTTTTTTATTTTTTATTTTTTTGAGTACACTTCTCACTCTGTTGCCCAGGCTGGCGTGCAGTGGCATGATCACAGCTCAATGTAGTCTCCAGCTCCAACTGCAAGCAATCCTCTTGCATCAGCCTCCTGAGTAGCTGAGATTACAGGCACTCTCCACCACACCTGACTAATCTTTTAATTTTGTGTAGAGATGAGGTCTCGCTATATTGTCTAGGCCGGTCTCAAACTCCTGGGCTCAAGCGATCCTCCTGCTTGCACCTCTGTCTCCCAAAGTGCTAGGATTATAGGCATGCACCACCACGCCTGGCCATAGCCTGCATATTCTTAAGGTGAATTGAATATCTTCTAAGGTACTTTAGTTTCTCCATGGCAGCAGTGAGTCATCTTTAGATACTTGCTGTGGAAAGAATAATATTAATGGCCATGGCCATTGCTACTGTTCTCTGTTGTACTTTAGAAGATATAGCCAGCCGGGCTCGGTGGCTCAGCCTGTAATCCCAGCGCTTTGGGAGGCTGAGGTGAGTGGATTGCCTGAGTCCGTGGGTTTGAGACCCGCATGGGCAACTTGGCGAGACCTCATCTCTACAATAAATCAAAAAATTCATTGGGCGTGGTAGCACACGCCTGTAGTTCCAGCTACTTGGAAGGCTGAGGCGGAAGGATCGCGGGATCCCAGAAAGTCGAGGCTGCACTCCAGTCTGGGCGACAGAGTGAGACTCCAACTCAAAAAAAAAAAACAACAAAAAAAAGAAGATATGGCCTTTGGTGATTTTCATCTCTGAGAATTTCATCTTTCAAACTTAGTACCAAGGGTTACTATTTTGTTCGTTTATTTTTTGAGTCAGAGTCTCACTTTGTTGTCCAAGCTGGAGTGCAGTGGCACGCTCACGGCCACCACAGCCTCGACCTGCTGGGCTCAGGCAATCCTTCTGCCTCAGCTTTCCAAGAAGCTGGAACCCCAGATGCACGCCACCATGACTGGCTAATTTTTTGATTTATTGTAGAAACGAGGTCTTACATGCTACCCAGGCTGGTCTTGAACCTTAAGCTCAGGCATTCTCTCCCCTCTGCTTCCTAAAATGCTAGAAGTACAGGTGTGAGCCACCACACCCAGCCCAAGTGTTAGCATATCTTAGAGTGGAAGAAGAAAGTGCCCGAACTTGACTGTTGGTTCAGGAAAGTGCTCCACTCCCTGTGTTTTAGCAGACGACTTCTCCTTGGCCGTGCCCAAGCAGATGTGAGTTAATGAGGAGTGTTTGCTGACCCGTCAGGTTTTGCTGTGCTCACATTCTTAATGTTTTGATTTGGATGTTTGAGGAAAAGACTCTACTTGGGAGTATTTCGCATTCTATGTTGTTAACACTTTTTTTTTTTTACATTTTGTCATTTATAGGTCTCAGCAGATAAATTATGTTTATGCTTCAATATATAAACTTCAGAACTAAGATTTAACATTTCGATTGCACTCAAGGTGGTATAGAGTGATAACTGTATCCCTGGGTAACCTAATTGTTTTAAATATACAAAATCAAACAAAATCCGTATGCCTAAAATATATGTATTTTAGCATTTTTGTGTATCGTAATAATTAGACATGATCATTCTGCATAGCGTTTGCTAGTAAGCAGATAAAATCAGCAACATTGAAAGGATAAATAACCATGCATGCATGATAACTTTAAGCTTGGCCGCAGGTGTGAAAATCACAAATGTCGTCAAGTGACGGAAGATCCAGGTATCAGGACAGGCGCTGTGATGAGGTCCCCCGCGACTCGGCCCATCCGGACGGCACTTTAGGAACCCTCCCGACGCCTCAGGACCGTGAGCTGGCCGTGAGCTCTGATCCCCTGCCACCACCCCCTCTCCCATTACAGCCACCATTCGGCCCAGACTTCTACTCAAGTGACACCGAGGAACCAGCTGTCGCCCCAGATCTCAAACCGGTGAGGCGCTTCGTCCCCGACTCCTGGAGAAACTTCTTCAGGGGGAAGAGGAAGGACCCAGGATGGGATAAGCCAGCGTCTCATCTCAGATACATCTCTGACGGAGTGGAGTGTTCGCCTCCAGCCTCACCAGCAAGGCCCAACCACCGCTGGCCCGGCAGCTCCTGCCAGGATGCTCAGGGCGGGTCCGAGGGAACCTGGGATTCCCAGAAGGAGGCGGATGCCATGTTTCCCCAGGAGGCCTACGGCTCTCTAGGCGGCCACTCGCAGCCGGCGCGCACCTACAGCGAGAAGGTGGAGGAGTACCACCTGCGGTATTCATACATGAAGTCGTGGGCCGGCCTGCTGAGGATCCTGGGGGTGGCGGAGCTGCTCTTGGGCGCCGGCGTCTTCGCCTGTGTCACGGCCTACATTCACAAGGACAGCGAGTGGTACAACTTGTTCGGCTACTCGCAGCCCTATGGCATGGGAGGCGTCGGTGGCCTGGGCAGCATGTACGGGGGCTACTATTACAGCGGCCCCAAGACCCCTTTCGTGCTGGTGGTCGCTGGCTTGGCTTGGGTCGCCACCATTATCGTTCTGGTCCTTGGCATGTCCATGTATTACCGGACCATTCTTCTGGACTCCAGTTGGTGGCCTCTCACGGAGTTTGGCATTAACGTCGCCCTGTTTGTCTTGTATATGGCCGCAGCCATAGTCTATGTGAATGACACCAACCGGGGCGGCCTCTGCTACTATCCGTTATTTAACACTCCGGTGAACGCGGTGTTCTGCCGGGTGGAAGGAGGACAGATAGCCGCGATGATCTTCCTGTTTGTCACCATGATGGTTTATCTCATCAGCGCTTTGGTTTGTCTTAAGTTATGGAGGCACGAGGCTGCGCGGAGACATAGAGAATATATGGAACAGCAGGAGGTAAGGGATTTCGTGATCCTTCGTTTGCTTTTTCTGTGGTTTGCTCCCTTGTCAAAAATGTAGAGTCCAAAACGAAAAGCTTTTCTAGAAGTCCTTTGTTTGTTTGTTTGTTTTTTGTTTTTTTGAGTTGGAGTCTCACTCGGTCGCCCAGACTGGAGTGCAGTGGCCGCACCCGGCCACCGCAGCCTCGAACTGCCGGACCCCAGCGATCCTTCCGCCTCAGCCTTCCGAGTAGCCGGAATTACAGGCGCGTGCTACCAGCCTCCCAAAGGCGCGGGATGACAGGCTGAGCCTCCAAGACCGACTTGTTTGTTTCTTTTTTAATGACCCGAGGTTCAAAAGTCCTAGCTCAATGTCTGACATGCTTTCACTAGGATAACCCACTCGGGTGTCTCACCGTTACTTGACATTGCACGGAGATTCCCCATATGGGGATATGTAGTTTGTTGGCTGCATTTGTTATGTCTGTCATATGCTTAAGGGAAAAACACAGCTGCTGAATTTCTGCAACACAGGAGGAGGAGGAGGACATAGTTAGTGAAATAAGTGTCTCATCACTAACGTGAGTTGGAGAGCAGTCTCGATTCCTTAGCATGACAAAACTGAATAAAAACCTGTAATTGTTCAGTATAAAAATCTGTAATTTTTCAGTTATAGGAGGAAAATTTTCATTTAAGTTTATGATTTACTTTGTCCAGTGAGGTTGATAAACCCAAATAAGCTAACATAGTGAGCAGTATGTGACTTTTTTTTTTTTTACAGTATTGAGAAGTTGAGTTGTAAGAAACATATTCTGTGAAATCTTGCTCAGTGGTTTTGGTATTTCGTCTTTATTTTGGGGAGGTATATATTCCAAAAGTGGAATGGAAGTTATATGGATTGTCTTTAGGCTTTAAAAAAGAGAGAAGCCCTAATTAAAATTATTTTGGGCTGGGTGCAATGGCTCATGCCTGTAATCCCAGCACTTTGGGAGGCCGAGGCGAGAGGATTGCCTAAGCCCAGGGGTTCAAGACCAACCTGGGCAACTTGGCAAGACCTCATCTCTACAGTGAATAAAAACATTAGCCGGGCATAGTGGCACATGCCTGTTGTTCCAAGTCTTTGGAAGGCTAAGGTGGAAAGATCACCAGACCCCAGCAGGTCAAGGCTCTGGTGGCTGTGAAAAGTGAGAAAGGAGCCGGGCTCGGTGGCTCAGCCTGTCATCCCGCGCCTTTGGGAGGCTGAGGTGAGTGGATTGCCGGAGCCCGCGAGTTCGAGGTCCTCCTGGGCAGCGAAACCTCATCTCTACAATAAATCAAAAAATCAGCCGGGCTTGGTAGCGCGCGCCTGTAATTCCGGCTACTCGGAAGGCTGAGGCAGAAGGATCGCCGGAGCCCAGCGGGTCAAGGCTGCGGTGGCCGGGAGCGGCCACTGCACTCCAGTCTGGGCGACAGAGTGAGACACCAACTCAAAAAAAAAAAAGTGAGAAAGGAAAAACTCATGATTAAAATTAAGGAAAATATTTAAAGTAAAATCCAACATTTTTAGTGGCCTAGGAGATTCTATGGCACACATCTCCTAAGAAGAAGAAAGCAAAACCTGTCAACTTATTTCAGGGCATAATGAAGCTTGCAGAATATACCCTAACATTTGGCTACTGTTCAGTCAAAATACCGTTATTTAGACGGAGTCTCACTCTGTTTTCCCAGGCTACAGTGCAGCGTTACGATCATGGCTCACTGCAGCCTTGTACTCGGCTCAGGCGATCCTCCTGCCTTCTGAGTAGCTGGGACCACAGGCACACGACACCACGCCCAGCTAATTTTTTAATTTTTTGTGTACAGATGGGGGTCTCACCATGTTGCCCAGACTGATCTTGGACTCCCGAATTCAATTGATACTTCCAACTCAGCCTCTCGAAGTGTTGGGATTATAGACATGAGCCACTGTACCTGGCCTAAATAAATTTTTTTCTTTTTTGAGTCGGCATCTCACTTTGCCACCCAGGCAGAAGTGCTTTAGCACAATCACCACTCACCATAGCCTCAATCTTCTGGGCTAAGGCGATCCTTCCACCTCAGCCTCTGAAGTAGATGGGACTATAGATACGCAATACTACGCCCAGCTAATGGTTTTTTGTGTTTTTTTTGAGTTGGAGTCTCACTCCATCTCCCGGGCTGAGTGCAGTGGCATGCTCACGGCCACCCCAGCTGGGCCCGCTGGGCTCCGGCGATCCTTCCGCCTCAATCTTCCAAGTAGCTGGAACTACAGGCTCATGCCACCATGCCCAGCTGATTTTTGATTTATTGTAGAGACAGGTCTGGCCAAGTTGCCCGGGTGGGTCTTGAACCTGTGGGCCCAGGCAGTGCATTCGTCTCAGCCTCCCAAAGTGCGGGGATTGCAGACTGAGCCACGGAGCTTGGCTGCAGCTAATGTTTTTCGACTTTTTATGGAGATACGGTCTGGCCATGATGCCTGGACTGGTCTCAAACTCCAGGGCTCAAGCAATTTTGCCTCTCCTCCCAAAGTACTAGGATTACAGGCCTGAGACACTGTGCCTGGCCTAAGCATATTTCTTGAATTTACATCTCTGTGTACAATGTAAATAATTTTAAACTCTAACCATTTGAAATATAGAAAATGAAACTCACAAATTTCCTATGCTAGCTTAATAACAGTTATTAAATCTTAATATTTCAAAAATTATGCATGAATGTGATTATAATTATCAACATAATACTTTCCTTTTTTTCACAACAAAAACTTGTTTCTTTTTCTTTCTTTATTTTGAAACTGATGAAGCGGGATTTATTGAGAGGACAGAAAAGCTCCCACAGTGGGAGGGGACCTCAGGGGGTTGCGCAAAACTTGTTTCTTTAACAGTCTTCATGATGTTTGATTAGACTTGAATTACTCCTGGTGTTGAAGGTTGTGCTGTGTGTTGCTGTAACTTCCTACAGGTTAGAAGATGTAATAATGGCCTGCAGCTCTTTCTGTTAGTTTTACAGGCCCTCATCCCAGTTCTAATTGTGTAAAGTAATGGGAGCTAGGAATAAGTCAGATTTCTTTTATGAGCTATGATGCTGTTTCAAAATTGCTTTTCTAATTTTTTTTTTGTGTCGGAGTCACTCCGTCGCCCAGACTGGAGCGCCCAGACTGGCCGCTCCCGGCCACCGCAGCCTCGACCTGCTGGCCTCCGGCGATCCCTCCGCCTCAGCCTTCCGAGTAGCCGGAATTACAGGCATGCGCTACCATGCCCGGCTGATTTTTTGATTTATTGTAGAGATGAGGTCTCGCTGCCCAGGCGGGTCTCGAACCCGCGGGCTCAGGCCATCCACTCACCTCAGCCTCTCAAAGGCGCGGGATTACAGGCTGAGCCACCGAGACCAGCTGAAATCAAACTTTTAGCAGGAAAGAAAGCCCTGACATTATACTTTTGGGTATAAACTGCTATACAAAAAAAATTCTTAAGAGGGATTAGTCCTCTCCAATAACTCTAATATAAATTCTCCATGTAGTCAAAGTCAAATTTATTTTGGTAAAATACAAATTATATTAGAATATTATACTGCTTTGTTTTCTTTATTTATTCCATGTTTTGAGTGGACATTAAATGTAGAAATTTTATTTATTGTATACATTGTATTATTTTCACAACATAAATAGGACTGATACGTAGAAGACATTCCATAATAATTAATTGACAAATAAATAAATATAAAATTCATTCTTTTAAAAACTAGAATAATTTTCATTTATGTAGAAGATAAAATTAAAATTCCATAGTGTGTCAGAGATTCCCAGCACCAGCCTCAGGCTCAGTGGTTCACTAGAAGGACTCATAGGCCTCAGAAAAGTAGTTAAATTCACAATTAATTCTCCCAGCAATAATATGGGATAATCCTTGCAAAATGTTGCCAACCAGGGAAGTTCACCCAAGTCTTGTTGTCCAGAGATT